ATTCATAATAAAAAATCATAATTATAATTATAATTCACGAATATTATTAGGTATAATTACTAGTATTATACTACCTTCCCTTTCCCCCTCCTCCAAATAGACAAGACGGACTAAAAACTAAAAAAGTACGGCTCCAGTCCTACTACTAACTCTCACTACGCACGGCGCTACTAAGTCGTAGCACAAGCAGATCAGTCTCTCTTTTATCCACTGTCCATCCTTCTGGCCGTCTCTCCTCTTCCCTTCCCATATCGGCCCTGTCTCTCGTTTCCCCGCGACTGTCCTTGCCCTTCAAATTAGTCCTCTTTATTTCTTTAGTCTTTTCATTTTTCCCTTTTTAGACTTGTCTCGATTCTCTTCCTTCCCTTCGTTATTTCTTATTTTTGGCTTTAATCCCCATCCCATCTCTCTTTTCTCTCTTTCTTTTACTTCATCATCTGTCTCCCGGTACCTTTGATCGTGATCGTCGCGAATCCAAAAAGGGTTGGCTCGTATCGACCAGAGGTTCCTGTCCTTCCTTCTATCAGATATAACTATACCGTACATTCACCAGAAGATCAGAAGACGTTGCATATTCGCAGTCTTATCTATAAAACCCTAATTCGGACCGCACTCTTCTGCCTTCAGTCATTCATTCATCCAGAGCAAGAGACATCTACATTCATTCAGCAACTACCGTGCTCGACATCTATCATTAGCACCAAGCTGCCTCGACATCATTCTGGAACCAACATCCTGACATAGACTAAACATACCTAATTATACCCAAGAGGTAAAGCAGTACACGCTTGATCCTCAGCACATTTTACCATTGGTTCGTCGAAGCAACATTATATCATGCAAGATGTCCATACTAATGCCTTATGCTCTAGTCACAATGGACGCTACATATACGATGGCACCAACGGTGCAAGGACAACCATCTTTTGCATACTACCCTACTGCTGATTCACAAAGACAACAATACACAAGCCACCCCTCTGAACCCCAGCCATATTATGGACAGATGCAGGCCTACCCTCAGCAACACTGCCTACCGGAGCAACAACCGGTCTACAATGCTCAACCCATGATGAACATGCATCAGATGGCCACTACCAATGCCTTCCGAGGAGCAATGAACATGACTCCCATCGCCTCCCCTCAACCCTCTCACCTGAAGCCCACAATCGTCGTCCAGCAAGGCTCCCCAGCCCTCATGCCTTTGGACACGAGGTTCGTCGGCGACTACTATAACTTCCCTTCCACCCCTCCACTCTCCACCGCTGGAAGTTCCATCAGCAGCCCACCATCCAGCAGTGGCACACTGCACACCCCAATCCACGACTGTTTCTTCTCGTTCGAAAAGGTGGAGGGTGTGAAAGAGGGCTGCGAAAGTGAGGTCCATGCCGAGCTTCTGGCCAGTGCCGACTGGGCTCGGTCAGCAACTTCGCCTCCCATGACTCCTGGTATGTTTTATTTATTTATTTTTTGTCATTTTCATCAGTTGAGCAGGGGATTGGAACCAAGAGCTAACTTCTTCTAGTCTTCATTAACGCCAATTCTCTCACTGCCAGTCATGGCTCAGACTTTCTCTCTGCAAACGGCTCTTGCCCCTCTCTTTCTCCTTCGCCTTCTCCTGTGTCTTCTTTGTTTGCTCCGTCTCAGTCGGCTTTCCCTGTTGAGCAGGCCACTTCCGACTTCTGTGATCCTCGGCAGTTGACTGTCGAGTCTTCCGCCGTCAGCACATCCTCCCCGTCTGAGCTGCCTCCTTTGCCCACTCTTTCCTGCGAAGAGGAGGAACCCAAGGTGGTCCTGGGAAGCGAGGCCGTGACTTTGCCAGTTCATGAGAACCCATCCCCCGCTTACACTAGCTCTACTGAGGATCCCCTCACTTCATTGCCCACCTTTGACAGCTTTTCAGACCTTGACTCGGAGGATGAGTTTGTCAACCGCCTGGTTGACTTCCATCCCAGCGGCAACGCCTATTACATGGGTGAAAAGAGACAGCGTCTCAGCACGTACTCTTTTGAGGATGAGGAGTTCCTGAGTGAACACAGCTTGGAAGACTCTTCGGACGATCTGGATTTGACCCAATCTGGCCTTTCTTTCCTGGGATGTGCCGACTTCGGCCCGGTCCAGAGTGATGCCAGCGAGACCTCGGACGAGATGAAGACGAAGAAGCGAAGCAACTCGCGTAAGTCTCTCAAGAGAGCACACTCTGAGGACCAGGATGCTCTCAAGAAAGCACAGGCACCGGTCAACAGCCGGGCCACCAGCACAGAGGCCAATGCGGCTCAGCAGGCCGCTGCCCCGTCCCGCTCAGTCTCGGAAGCCAATGTATCTAGCTCTTCCGAGGCCCCACCTGTTCCCGTGTCGGTGAACCGCCGGGGTCGTAAGCAATCTCTGACGGATGACCCTTCCAAGACCTTCGTCTGCTCTCTCTGCTCTCGTCGTTTCCGTCGTCAAGAGCACCTTAAGCGCCACTACCGTTCTCTGCACACCCAGGACAAGCCCTTCGAGTGCAATGAGTGTGGTAAGAAGTTTTCTCGGAGTGACAACCTTGCGCAGCACGCCAGGACCCATGCCGGTGGTTCTATCGTAATGGGCGTCCTGGACACAAACGGCGCCTCTCAACAGTATGAGGAACGTGACGCGAGTGCCATGGGGGCTGTGCTCTATGAAGCTGCCAACGCTGCGGCGACTAAGTCGACGACTAGCGAATCATCCGAAGATGGTCTGTCTGACGCACCCTCTATCGATCGTCGATCTGCCAAGAAGCGCAAGCGTGACGAACACGCTTAGTTGCCTCCACTGCCGTTTGCAACTTCACGACGCGATGTGACCAGGAGCTCCCCCCTTACTACTTAATACACTATCATAATTACTCCACCATTGCACTGGTTGGTCTGACTTTGGTCTTTGCGGTTTTGGCGTCTGGGCATTTACATTGGCGGTGTCATGTGGGAGGCTAAGGTGTCTGGCAAAAGGATTTCCGTTTCTCACACCGGGGAAAAGAGAAGCATAATACAGCATATGGTCCTCACAAAGAAGGACTTAAATTGGAGGCATTAGACCGGTTGTCTGGGCTGCAACGGTTTCGGCGCACTGGGAGTCCACGGTTTGGACTAAACTTAGAGCGCATGACGACTTCTTGTTTTGAGGCACTGGTGGTGATTTGGGATTTTTTTTTTTTCTCTCATACTCGCATTTTCTGGCAAAGATGTTTTGCCTCGATCAACAGAATGGCTCAAGTCATTCGCCACTCTTGTACCCATTTCCC